CATGTGGCCACTCAATAGGTCTTCTAACTCATCTTTCCCTAAAAAAGTCCAGTTCAGTTTAAAAAGGTACATCAGCAACTTGCAAGAGTTGGTTGATCCAGCTTTTCTTAAGATATCCAGCTAATACCCTGGCTAGTAATCCATTCTACTTGCCAATTTACCAGCATTCAAGTTTAATAGCTTTTAGGAATAAACAGATGACAGATATGTACCACAGTTGTTAGCTTCATTCTACTTTTATACAAAAAATATGTAAAAATGTATTAAAGAGGTTATTCCAATGGCTGACTTCACACATTGTACTAAGCTATAAAGTGATTAGTTCGTTTTTCTTCAGTATATTCACTTGGATAATGAATTTATTTGAGTTATATCTCTTTTCCCCCAGAGATCAAGGTAGCTTACATGATAAAATGAAAGTGTCCCTTAATTTTATCCCTACTAGGTTATTGGCATAGGGGAAAAATTCTTTAACCTTATTTTATCCTTACATTAACCCTATGAAGTAGGTTGGACTGAGACAGTGATGTCCCAAAATCACTCATTGAGAATCCATGCCTGAGGGTAAACCTGAATCTGGGTCTTCCCTGTCTTAGTCAAGTACCTAAACCACCATGCCACACAGGTTCTTATACTATAAACAAAACCAACTGCAATTTCATTAACCATGATTAAGCAAATTAAGGCTTTACACAATGTATAAACCCTGTTACTGAGTGATTAGAATTTACTTAGCTAGATGGGTTGCTGACTCACTAGAACTGAGCTGCTATTTATACACCAGAATTAAACAGACTCTAACCACTACAGACCTCTTTCTTCATTCACCGTATCAAAGTGACCAAGTAGAGCCTGGTGGGAAGCCCAATCTGAGATACACATGGAGGACACCTGCTAACCTTTACGGACAACTCTGTATCTATATGCAACCTCAGACATATCTTTTGGAAGCTGTGTTCAGTGTGACATACATAAGTGTTCATGAGGCTGTAGTCCAACTTTTGCTGATATTAATCTGGAGTTACTAGCCAAGCACAGAATAATTAGTGGAATATAGAATTCAAAATAAATGCATTCATTCTTGTTTAGCTACAATTCGGTTCAACTACAAAAGACAAATCAGTCAATTCTCTTATTCGTATACACAGCCTACTTCTCATACAATTCCACTAGGTATGCAGCTTCATGTAGTGTGCGATCTCTAATTAATAAATGGTTTACAATAAACCACTCATATAAATCATTTATATGGCTTGGGTTAATTTTTAGCCCTTCCTGTGCAACCTCATCCCAAAAATACAGAATTGCATTGCATTGGCTAAAATCCATCCGGACTGCTAGGGCAGCCGCTGTAAGGGCCGAAGCCAACAAGGTGAAAAAAACAGCAGTTCCCAGACTAGAAAGGACAGATATGCAAATGTACTTCAGCTCCTTAAAGGTACAAAGCAGACTGCCAAGTATCCTTAACGCATAAAGATGGGGAAAAGTAACATAACGTTTACATTCCAAAGGCTCTGACTTCTTTGCTCTGCAGTGATCCATCAATCGTTTTGTCTAAGATTTCATTCTTCTGTGGTTCAGAAGCTACTCCCAGATATCTACCTGCACGTGCATCCAGAGCCCCACTGCAGCTGCTGCTGGATCTTTGGAAAAGTTGAACTGCTTTAAGGAGCTCAGACAGAGCTATATTCACACCGCTGGGCACTCTGAGGCACTGCACAGCCTAAATGGTTAGCACTGGACTAGGAGGCACTTCAAACAAACCAATTCCATAATAAGTGCAACAATAGAAAACATGCAATAGAGTTTTCAAGGGAACTGTAGTTTCAAAAATCTGATTTATGCAACAGAGAGGCGAAGAGCAACTGCAGTTAGGATCCCCAAAAGCTGTGAAAAGGAAATACTTAGGAAAGACAAATTTAGAGGGTAGTCAGCATTCTTAACTACAAGGAGAGATAGCAAAATGAAGTATAGTTTTTTGTCCTACACAAATAGGCTTGTTTTAAACTAGAAATGTAATTTGACTGAACTCAGATTTAGTTACCATATGGTACTTCTGAGAATTTTCAAAGAAATAGCTTTAAAGAATTAACATAGTAGAAGTTTCATAATTCAAGGTATTGTTATTATTGAAAAAAGCAGGTATAACAATGTAAAGGCAACAATCAAAACAGTAAACACTTTAGCACAAAATAGCTTTTTAAAAGCAGACGCTTTTAAGCAACTGCTTACCACAATATGTTAAAAACTTGTCTGAACAAATAAGCTTTCAAAACCATGTAAACACATGAAAAAAGAAAAAAAGCCCCCTGTGCATCTCTTGAGGATGGGCATTTCAGAATTCCCCAGTTTTTTGCCATTCTTATTTCTTATGTTGTTCAGTCATTAAGTCGTGTCTGACTCTTCGTGACCCCATGAACCATATTGCGCCAGGCCATTTCTTATGCCCCAGCCATAAACATACTGTACCCTGACCTGTAAAACATGAAATCTCTCCATGACTACTCACTTTATCCCATAGTTCCTTGAAATTAGTAACACACTATACTTATCCTTACTTTCAGAGAAGGGGGTCTCCAGCGGATTAGACAGTGGACAACCAGCACCAACCCTTATACCTGCAGAAACACCATTGGGGGCAATCCGAAACATACAAAGAGTATAAATGACCCACCAGAAGGCCACCTAACTAAATATCCACTGTAAGGACAGTGAAGGATGTAGAACTATATTCTTTAACCAAGTCCAAGCATCAGGCCAAGGGACTTTGTGATCAGGAGTCCTTCTAGGGAAGGACAAGAGTGATGAAAATAACTGGGATTGCCTAACATATTTGCTTATGGTTTGGTACATAAGCAAAATGCATCCACTCTTGCCTCACTGTGCTTCCAGTCAAGGAAGACATTATTCGTTCTTGTTCTTCCCTCCCATGCCAAAGCTGCACTCTGCAACTGCTAACCATGATTACAGCTACTGGCCAGCCTCCTGCTACCCTCTAGCATCACAGCTAGTAAAAGGAATTCTACCTTCACAGCAGGATAGCTTCCGCCACAGGGACAACTGTTTTATCTGGCAAATGGCAAGACAAATGGAAACAACACATACCGGTGAGATGGTTTCTAGCATTTCTTTTGTGTAGAGTACGGAAGTTGTTTTGTTATTTCAGGAGCAGTGACAATTCAGGGACACTGTTTGAGTCTCATTGTGTGAATTCTATTGGTCAGCTGTCCCTCTAGGGGGCAGCACCTAACCAATCTTGACTGGTTTCCAAAAGATACTTGAATGGAAGACTACCAGGAAATCCCATGGCTGTAAACTAGACTAAGAAGTCCAAAAAACTTCTTGAAGTATGGCAATAGCAAACCATTTCCACATCATTGTCAAGAAAACAACATGGGTATGACCTCTACTTGAGGGAGTGTTTTCTTTTGCCTTTATTCATCAGGTGGAAGAAGAACTGTTTGGTTTGTGATATTCCCTGCCCATTCAGGATTTCTTGGCCAGAACAAGACAATTGGAGATTAGTCACAAATCAGTTTGTGAAGAATGGGGGCAGGTGCAAACTGAATGAAAACTACCATATTGAAATGCCCATCATAATCACATTATCCCTCAGATAAATCAAATATTTGTGGGTTGGTTTTGCAGAAATAACCAAAAGACTCAATTAAAAATGTTCTTCTTAAGTAAACATACTTTGAAAAGGCTAAATTTAAATATTTTCCACTTTCAAGCAAGAATAAGTAAGTAGTTTCTATACCTTACCAGAAGTTCATAAGTGGTCTAAAATATGTTCTTTCATAAACTGTGGAGCTCCATTTTTACTATTGTTCCTAGATGCAACCACATGTGTGTGAGTGTGCATAGGAGACACTAAAATGTCCTAAACTTAAGGAACATTTTCAAAAGCTTATTTTCTTTAACCATATGAATAATTCACCTATTTCACACACACACACACACACCTGTTTGCAGAGCTGGATAGTAACCATGGCTTTTAAGGTGGCAAGCAAGTGAACCTCAGTCCTTAGTTTAGAATATTTAACTTTAAAACAATAACAATAATAATATTACTCTTCTAAAGACTCGCAGAACGGTGCTCAAGATAGGTATCTGGGTACAGTAATAACACTAAGCAGAAGATCAATCTGCTCCCAGTCATTTATAATATGCAGCTTCATAAATTAGGTAATTCGCTGTACACAGCAGGCAGGAGGGAGGAAAAGAAAGTTTCATTCTTTTCCTCATTCGGGAAAGCAGGGGGAGGGGGGAAGGAAAGCCAAGCAGTGCTGACAGGCAATGAAACGCTAGTAGAAATTCTGCCTTCGAAATTATGTGTTCCCTTCTCTCCCCCTTCAAGTACCTTTGATGTTTCCAGAACAAAAGCCTCCCTCATCCAGCCGTTCCCAAGAACTGAGGGAGAGGTGAGCCAACAAAAGGGATCCGGAGAGGAGAGAAAGAGCGTGCAGAGGAAAGTCACCGACTCTCGTGCCCTCCGCTCCTCAGGGCCCTGACCATTGCAATGTCAAGTGAAGGGGAACCCGAAGCAAGAACGGGGCGGGGGGGGACGTGCAGAAGCCCAAGGTTTTGCGGGCAACCACCTGACCAAAGCAAGCGCCCAGCTTTTATCTCCCTTTCTCACTCTCCAGGCAGGGGGATAACGCACAAAAGGAGGACACAAGCACAGAAACTGACAACAGAAGGGAGAAGGGAGGGGAGTTGATTTTTTTCGAAATCCCCAGATCCTCCCGTAGTGCCCCCACAGACCAGATTTTCCAACGAGAAAAAGAAAGGACCGAAGCGGCAGCGCGGGGACTTGCCCTCCCGGTGCGCCTCACGCGCGCTGCCTTACGGCAGAGTTGCACCAAGTGAACTCGGGCGACCCAACTCGGCCGCCTCGACCAAGGCGACGCGCACCCTCTTTCTTTCCCGCCTCCCGTTTGCGTCCGGGGTCCAAAAGCAACTCCCAGCGGACCCGCCAGAGAAAGGGCTCAACTCACCTCGCTGTCCTTTAACCTGCGAGGAAAGGGGAGGAGGCAGCGCAGCACAGCGCGAGTCCCAACGAGAGGGAAGCGCGGGGGAGGGGGTCCTCGAGCAGGCGGCTCCTTCGGGGGAAAGACGTGCCAGGCACCGGTTGTTTCCACCGCGACAGCCCACCCGAGCAGCGCGGAGAGAGACCGCAGGAGGAGGAAAAGCAAGCAAGAGGGATCGCCGTCCGACAGCAGCTGGCACTGCCTCGGAGTTCAGCCCGCAAACTCCTCTCGCGCTTCTTTTGTAGCAGTTCGTGCGCGCTCGCTCGCTCGCTCAACACTCGCACACACCGGCTTGCCCGCACTGCGGCTGCGCGCTCCGGCCCCAAACCAACAATCCACGCTCTCCCGCCCCTTTCGCCGACTGGGATTCCAGGGACTAGGAATCTCCGATCACATGGCAACGTAGCCCGCGGGGCGGGGGCGGGTTATCACTGACCTGGGGGAGGACGGCAGGTCACGAACGGCAAACTTGTTTGCACAAGGGGATCGTTCGCGTCCTTCAGAGGATGGATGGCGCTGCCAGGGCAAATTGTACAACTAATAATAAGCAAGAAAATGACAGCTGACAATAATCTACCGCTTTATTCCGGCCAGATGAAAAATTCTGCACGATTCAAAACCGGGAATGTGCTTACAGGTTGGCTTTAGTGCCTTCCTGGGTTGCGATCTATTTAATTGTATGGAGATTGATAGTTTTTACCCTTAAGTGTCCTGGATGCTGAAACTGAGAGATGAGCCCCATGAAGCATCTGGAATAGGTTTGCTAGAGGTGCTAGGAAACGTCTGACCACGGTATATACCCTATAACCCTATAATATTGATGCTGCCAAAGATGTGGCTGCTTTGAAGAGTTCTGGCCCAGTGTTATGTTTGCATCACTCTGTACTCTGAAGCACCTGTTTGGAATCCAAAAATCTACAGTTTTATTATCCAGCCACTCTTGAGTCAGCATAAAACAATCCCAGCATAAAACTTGCTGCCTCCCCCCCCCACCCTTGCCAATTCCTCTCCGACTTCTGCATATTTCCAAGTCACTGCTGAATGGTGTTGCTCTGAGTGTCCCAACTATTATAGGCAAGGTTATTGGTTTTCTCCTCTGGCTTTACACAGCCATCACCTTTCAGGACTTCACCAGCCAGCAGCAAAAACATCCCCTAAGCAGACCACTGCAGAAGAAGGGGGTGGGTCTCACTTCAAGACTCTGTCTAGCTTCCCTAACCTGCTTTGTCTGCCCTTCCCCCTGCACTTCATTTAGGTGTCTCCCAAGTTTTAAAATGTGAAATAAAGAAGCATATTTGAAGACTTCAGGGCAGAAATACTGTCAGAAAGAAGGGAAGCAGCCTCTGACTGTGCAGTTGACTAAGGATAACTGAAACTGTTTGCTGTGTGGACAGGTCCTTCATTCAGGTTTGGGGCCCTGGTTGAAACTGACAAATCTAAAGGAAACTGGCAATTAATGAACAAAAGCCCAGTTCAACACCTCTCATCATTTTACGGACACTGCAATGAGAAAAAGCAGGGCTGCGACATCTGAAGATAAAGATACATCCCAGAATCCTGTTAAAGCAGAATGGTTAAAGCTTCATCCCTAAATGAATTGTGGCAATCTAATCACTTTGGAATACTCTTAAAGCAGAATGGCCCTAGTAAACCCTTCTTCTTCCCCAAATAAAATAATGAAGTTCTTCCCTCCTCCCCTCTACTTTGTTGAAAAATAGAGAAGTTGGAGTCAAAAGTGGGAGGGGGGAGGTGACATCTCTGAAAGGAATTCAGAAACCAAGGGCTTAAGAGGGGACAAAGGATGTGGGGGAGGCTGGCTGGTAACTGAGGCCAGGTCATATCCACACCTCCCAACACACCTCTAATCACCCCCACAACAGATCAGCTGAATTCACGCCCAAGATAATGGGTGACAAAGCACTATAGATATTACATACCCTGAAGTTATGTCGGATCTGTGTCAGCTTAAGGGAGAAAATGTTGACTTAAAACCAGTATATCCAATGATGATTTAAAGATGTCCCATTCATGCCTGGGGCCAAGAGGAAAGATAGATGAGGACAAAGCATAATTATGCCAAGGTTAAATGTAAGTTGGGACAGGGCCTATGTGTCAAGACAGCTTAAAAGGCAAGCAAATCTATTGCTATATAAGGTTACATGGATTAGAACCAAATTTGTCAGATACCCAGACATTATGGACTCTGGCGTTCTTCCCCGCCCATGGGAAGAGATCAAGGGGTACATTGTTGAAAACGTATTTGCATCCATTTAGCAAATCTTCTCTGTTTATTAAATGTATTGGTTTATGGAGCCTGGCATTAAAGATATAAGCAGTATTCTTAGCTGTTCTTATACTATAGGAAGAATAATTGGAATTGATCATATTTTAACTAAAAGAGACTTTTTGTTCCTTTTGCTAAGGAAGCAAACCTGTTTTCACTGGTCACTGGACAAGCACTCTCTCCTTTGTGTGTCCTCTTTCCAGTGTCCCTGAGCAGCAGTGACCTTGATGGAAAGCTACTGTGTTTCTGTGACAACATCAACACCACGTTCCTGTTTCCATTGGTGTCAACAGATGTCTGTGTTTTCCAGCAGCCTGTATAATTAATGAACTTGAGCAATAATGTATCCTTGGCTGTTGCTTCCTGACACTTGCAAAGAAATAGGGCAGGTCCAGATCATCAGTCATGGTAATAATTGGCCTCCACTACATTTCAGTGCACTAAAGGAAGGTGTTGGCCTCTAACGCTAATCTATCTATCTATCTATCTATCTGTCTGTCTGTCTGTCTGTCTGTCTGTCTGTCTATCTATCTATCTATCTATCTATCTATCTATCTATCTATCTATCTATCTATCTTTTGGATTAAGTGAAAGAGGCTTCTAGGACTCAATCACTATTAAACAAAACAAAACCTTCTCATCTTTAGACTAATTTGCACAAGGCATGGAGTGTCGGATACTGCATTTATAATGCTGTGAGATTAATCCTAGGCTGGAATATTTTATAGAGGACCTAATCTAGTAAGGGAACTGTATTGTCTTTGCCAGATAATGTTGGTTTGAGTCTCTTAAGCATATATTATTTCCCCTGAGTCTTCAATTCTACAACAGGCTGTTTCCCCAGATACCAATTTGCTTAATGCTCTTGGAAATCTTAAATTGAAATCAATACTGGAAGTGGACAGTACTTAACAAAATGGAAAACTTCGCTTCTGAAAAATCCTTCTGAAGCCTCCCTAACCTTAGGCTGTGTTCTGTGCCCACTTAGAACTCAAGGAAACTTATTTCAAGGTCAAGTATGAAGAAAATAAAGGAAATTATTCAAACTCTACCAAGAAATATGTCCCACTGAGTTCTAAGTGGGTAAATTTGTAAAGCCATTTCTTTATCAGGCTAGGTGATCAAAAACTCTTTATTGGAATGAGGCATATCCATAAGGATGGATTGCTTTTTAAAGCACATTTGGACCAATTTCATTAGAAAAGTTAATTTGTCCCTGATTCATAACTGCAGTGCTATAGTAAATTCTAATTCTCCATGCTTTCCAAGTATCCTGGCTTCAGAGAGTGTATGCAAGATGGCTGAAAGAGCTGACTTACCATTCTGCTTTTACAAACCCCTTGTACAGCAGCATTAGGAAGTAGTCAATTCATGGGCCTAGAACAAGTAGTTCACAATGGGCTCAACAAATGCTTGCAGTGTGAGGGAGTTTGTCTTTCATTGCTAGCTGATCAGGCAAAGCACATTATTCCACCACTGACAAAGCCTCAGCTGTTATATTCAAGGTCTCTCCCATTTCCCTGCTTTCTTTCTGTCTCACTGTCAGGCACTGGCATCTTGTGACCTTTTCTCCCTGTTCGCCTTTCTCAAAGATTGTTCCTTTGCCAGAGGAAGCTTCTCTTGTAGTAGTCAGTGTCACTCTTCAACTATTTAAATACCTGCCACAGCTAACAACTCCTCCCCACTCACCCCATTTCCCATGTAAAAGCGTTGGCATAAACAAAAAAGTATTTTTTTAAAAAAAAGGGGATTCCCATGCTCCTAAAAATGCAAAGTTTTCTATCATTTTCTATCATTGTCAGGAGTGACAGATTACACAACTTGATTGCTTAACACAGTTTTACACCAAGTAATTATGATGATACTAAGTAGATGCAAACTAAGTGTCCAACCACTTAGACACAGAATGTATGTCCTTTAAAAATGTTACAGGAAACATATTTATACATTTTAATTGAGAATTCATATTTTTAGAAACCATGTCTAGGTTCCAGCATTGGGTGTTTTTTGTAACACTTGTTTACAGCATTGTTATGAGCACTTAGTTTAATGTATTTAAGCTCAAACTGTTTTAATATTTTATGCATGCATTTTCAATTGCTAGAAAATAAAGCAGCATCCTTTTTATGAGTGCATTCAGCTTATAAATGTACTCAACTTATGTGTATCTCATGACTCAACTAAAAATATACAATATGTGCTCAACAGAAATCCAACTTGCAATTCTAACATTTTCTTTTAATTTCTGATCATGCGTACCTTGAAGGAGTAAGCACCCTTTAAATTGTACGACTGAAAGTACATACTACTTAGAGCTGATTCATGTATTTGAATACAGGTGACAAAATTATAGTATCATTCTAATTATGGTATGACATGCCTGGGGAAACCTTCAGCAATAAACATGTTATAAACTCAGAATATGCCTACATTAGCAAAAAGGTTTAAGAGACTTTATTAATAATTTTGCTTTCTTCTTCATTTTCTTCCACTTTTATGGGCGAATACCCAAAGTAGAAATCAAGAACTCTGGTATTAGGAACCATCAAAAGGAGACATGAGGTTAGGGATCCATGCCATGTCCACAGGGAAAGGTAAATCAGCTCCTGTGCTGGCAAAGGGTGTGGACTTCTCTCCTGCTCACTCTGCCCAGCTGGCTGGTCAATAGGGTGTGAGTTTTGTAGTAATGATTCAATGTCTGTATACTCCAAGTGAGCAGTGAAGCTATTCTGTGCTACAAAGGGTGTTTCCCCAACGCAGCTCCAGCATTTCTGTTACCCAATCCCTCACAAAGTAAGAAGACTCTTCAGTTCTGCTGACCTTGAAACATTCAGAGCACACGAAGAACCCAGAGATCTATTCAGTCCTCACTGTCCAGCTGACCAATAGAGCAGGGGAAAAATGATCATCCAGTATCCCACTCCCAAAGCTACTACAGTGAAGCTGCAAAAGTACCCCCACCTCCAGTCCATATAAGAAAGAAAGGGAGAAATAGCACCCC